CAAGGGGCTCTGTTTGCGTCAGCATGCACAAACTCTAAGGAATCTCCAGACTTAACTGTGCAAGGCTGGGAAGCTTGCAGCAAAATTCCAGGATGAGGCTAATATTGCCTAGTGGCCAAATGTACTGAACAAATCTTGGAGTTTCCTGCACGTTCAAACCATAATAGTTTAAAATGTTCAAAATCACAAGCAGTCTGTAAAGGATGGGCTGCTATAACATCAGTGGAACATGCATTCTGCAAAGGGAAGAGTTCAGCATGTATTCCCAGATGGCTCCATCAAATAATAGGCAGACACTTGCAGAAGCTTCTAGTTTGTGTTCTCAGTCTTGAAGAAAACGACAGATCAAGTAAACCTGACCTTACTCAGTGTGTTACCAGGTAAAATGAGTTTGAAAGAGGTGTTCAAAGCCGAAAGCAACCAGATTTTCTGCCGAAAGCAACCAGATAAAGTACTCTGTTGTGGTACCTCCTCCATCTAATTGACTTAGTTTCTCCTCACCATGACGAGTATCATTAAAACTAAACACCATCAAGCTGTATGAATAGAGTCTTTGAGAGAAGACAGTCGGGCTCATTGCCTTCTGCTGTCAGCTCATAACAGCAATGGGCTTGAGCTTCTGATGCTTCAGATCAGCAGTTGCTGCAAGGTCCTTTGCTTCACTTCAAGGAACAGTCAACCACCCTTTGGTGAACAACTGCACAAAAAGGAGCTGTCAGCAACATCTGACACCGTTGAGGAACCCTGGCTGCCAATAGGCCTTTAAGAAACCCATGATTTATAATGTGCAACAGCAGCTACGCACCAATTTTTTTTTTCCCATTGGGGGAAAGATCCAAAGCTAACAATGCCGTGTCCTTATCAGCAGAAACATTTGTTGGGGACTGCTCCAAAAGCTATTCACGCAAGGCTTAGTTCTACAAAGTGCTTCCCATATGAAGTACGTTTGTCTCCAGTTAAATCCTTTATCATTGGGAGTACATATAGATGTGCATAAAAACACAGAGAGGGACACAGTGGTAAAAAAAAATAAGGTTTCTGCAAGTCCTTATTCCAAATCAGTATGTTAAGTGACAGATGGCTAACCATATTTGAGCTGTGCTATTAATTACAATAATGTGGATATAAAACATCAACTTCCCTAGCCAGGAGTGGATAACTACTATCAATTATCCAGTAATAACAGAGATAGGAGGCTCCAGAGATGAACAGACCCATTTTAGACAAAGAAGAGCTGATTTGGCTCAACCGAAAACCCGGATAAGAAACTCAATAGTGTTTCCACCATTAGGATGGAGGGAACTAGAAAAGACTTACTAAATATATGTCATTTCTTTCTGTTGCTAGAGACCAGCGTTGGTGCCTCAGGGGGCATCTTCCTACTCAGGCACACTGCAAAATCATGACGAAACCTTGCGTTTGTTTTGAAGTCCAGATTATTAAGTGTTACTCTTTGACTAGGTGGGGTTTCATTTGCAAAGATAGATAGAAGTCAATGCATGGGATAACAAGATGAAGTCAGGGCTCAGGGATGGCTTAAGAACTGGTTTGCAGGCTGAGCCTGGAGGAGGAGATGCTGCTGCGAGTCCTAGCTGGGATGCACTGGCAGGATTCTGCGTTTTTCTTGAAGCTAAAGTCGTCCCCTGGCAGAGCTTTTATTTAAAGCTGCGCTAAAATTCTTTCAAAAAATGACAAAACCCAAAGTAAACTCAGCCCTGGTGGAATTCCAAAACTGTCCCTTGGGGTCTCAGCATTGTGTTCAGGTCCCGGAAACTTGGCTCCTGGAGTGGAAGTGAGTGCTCAGCCTTTGCTTTCTGTGCCCTAGGAGATGGGCCTGTTGCAGAATGTGATTCCTGAGACGCCTGGGGCCCAGGGCTCAGACTAACAGCACACGGGGGACCTGGCTTTCAACCTTGCTTTTCACACAGAATCCCACCTCTAGCAGCATGGAGGTCTCGGAGGAACAAGCTGAGCCATGGACATGTCTTCACACCTGAGCTCGTTCCACAGCAGACCCATGACCTGTGGAGATACAACAGAAAGAGGGGGTGAGGTCTCAAGGAGAAGATGAATGGATTATCCACTGAGGTTACATTAACATAGCAGGATTTCTTGCAGTTTGTTCCTCCCCTGTGACAGCGCACTGGGTTTGCTGTACAGGGATTACAGAGGAGAAGGCTCTTGCATTTCAAGAGTTCTCTCCACTAGGTAGGACATGAGCAGATTTGTCCTGGAGGGAAGAGGCCTACTGCAAGTTTTATGGTCTTTGCAAATTTGCAAATATTTTTACTGGGCCCTGGAGCCTGGAAACCAGCAATAGTGAGAGCAGAGCCACAAAGTTTGAATGGCTCTTTCAGCCTTGTTACATGTTGCTTTTGAGGGAAGAGATGTTTTATTCACTTGCGTAACATTTCCAGTCTTGGAGGAGTTTACAGCTGAGTTTTAAACAAGATGACAGATCCCAGTACACAGTGGATCATGACACATGACTACTGACTACTACAAATGCTCAGGGCAAAAAAGGTTGTGAGTTTTGAGTTCCAGCATCACCCTTAATCACCTGCAATAGCACCATAATTGCTGTCAGAGGCACTCTTATTTTAAATGTTTGCATGTGGCCTGTTGCAGGAAGAACCCATTGCACCTCACCTTGGCTTCCAAGCGCTTTTGGTGCCCCGGCTGTCACACTGTACAATGGGATTGAACATCCATGCCCCATGGCACCAGAACAGGAAGCTGGGAGTTAACGGGAACATCCCTTGCAAAGGGGATAACGACAGGCACATTAAACAGATCTGCTAGCCCTCCTGCCAGCCAGAACTACTAATGAGGTGTTTCCTTTCTCGTTGTTGATGGACTCATAATTAGGTTCCTGTCCTATTCCTTTTCCCAGAATTGGTCATGACAGCTTTCTGACAGTGACCTGCAAAACTGGCTGTAGGGATGGAGCCTGTTTGCTGAGCTATAGATAAGGGAGGGAATTTTGTTTCTTCTCTTTCCTTGCAGCTGCCCTTCCTCATCCTGGGTGTGCATGGTGTGTTGAGCCCCTCAGCTCCAATACCTACGACGTTTCTGAGATTCACAACCAGATTTTTTTTGGCTGCATTTTTGCCTAATTTTGCGTGCAAGAAGACTATAGAGACTGTCTGAGAAGCCACAGATGGCTTTATAAAGAAGGGCCAATCCTGTGAAGTAGTGGAGATCCCCAGGGGACCGGCCAGAGCCTCTGCTCGGGCTGTGCTGAGCTGCATCTCCATGGGCTGCGCCAGACGCCTTCATTCCTGCACTTCCAGCCATACTCCTGGGAACTGGGGTCTCCCACATCTCCCACAAAAGCTGCTGACCTCATAAGGATAATAATAATACAGGCTGGAGGGCTATTTAATTAATGAGCTTCAAATTCTTGGGGGAAAAGAAAGTGGCAAAGTGAGTGCTGGAGCCAGGGCTCATGACTGCTCGGTCTCAAACTCTGTCTGATGGAGAAGTCTGCAGTACTTGGCATCATAGCCAGGGGAGAAGCAACCACTCTATTCTCTGGAATTTCGCTTTACCTGCTTGAATAAATCCTCCACATCCCCTGTGTCTAGGGAAACAGAATCCTTGAAGTCATGTTGATAGCAGGTAAATGACAGACTTACTTTTTTTTTTTTTTTAATTTTAATATTTATACCCTTAGAATTCCTTTTCACATGCCTATGCCATTGTTATTTATTTTGGACCTCAAACAATATTTTCATTTTTAGAGCTGCACCCACTCAAACCCTGCAGCTGCCTTAACTAATGCAAGAGGAATGAACTGAGATTTACAGGAAAGCGAACACATACCTTCCTATAAATTGTTTCACTCTTATCAGGGTTTATCAGCTAAAATCACCCTGATTTTCTAAACGTGGAAAGGACCGACATTCTTTCTTCAGATGAAGAGTGATCTTCTCTGGGATATGCTGTGCAGGACAGTTATAGATAGTGCAGTTGTCATCAGGGGAAACTAACTGCCAGGTCTCCTCTGCACCTCTGTTTTGCCTGTGAAACCATCCATGGTATTTAAAGTTCAGACAGTCGCTTTGGAAGGTATTTAAGTTGTCCCAGAAACTATTTAAAGGAGTGAATTACTTCAGCTCAACACCTATTATGTCTTTGTAAGAGAAAGACCCATGCTAAATTCAGTTAGTGGTGGTCACAGCTCCTGGGTTGAGTGTCAAGGTCCTCTACAAAAGCTGCTCAGGAGATGTGAACACATCACTCTCTTTCAGCTGTTTAATTTAGGAAAAGCAAAAACAACAACAAACAAAAGTTCCTATACAATATTCTGGTCAGGAACAAGGGTTATATAAAGAGATGCCAGGGAAAAGTTCCTGTCATTTCCCTCTAGACCAATATATCTCCATCTTGATGTACACAGCCCTGTGTCACCAGCTCTGGGATGTGAACTTTGTTCTCTTAACATCTTTTAGTCTTGAGAAGCAAAAGCAGCTGCTGCTCTGGGACTGGGATGCCTGGGTGCCACATGTGCCCTAGGCAGACACAGTGTCACACTGTGGAGGAAGCTGCCATTGCCCATGCTCACATCCTCCTTGCTAATCCCGAGCAGAGGAAGCAGTTGGTACCAATACTGATGCACACAGATCTCTCCCTATGAGTATTTTTATCCATAACATACATATATCCAGCTGGTTGCCTGTAGCTACATTACAAATGAAACAATGATGACTAATGAATTCATCAGTGACAGGGACAAATGGAAGCAATGAGGAATTTTGGTGCCATGTAGACAGTATAAAAAAAAAATGTAGTTGCCCCTTGTGCTCCTGCTAGGAAGCACCTTTCCTCCTCCATGAAACTCCCAGGAGATGGGACAAGATCAGAGCACAATGCAACAGCTCTCACCTGTCATCGGTCATCACTGCAGGAAACCATCTGCTGGACCTCCAAGACAGTTTTACTTAATGAATAAAACTGCTTAATTTAACTGCATCTCTGTTTACAGCGTGGCGTCAGAGATGAATGTCTCGTATGAGCTCTGTGCATGCTGCTTCTGCTGTGCACAGACCCAGCAGCCATGTGGTCCTCAGGCTAAGGGAGCATCTTGGCAGAGCAGCCAAAAGGGATGCTAGAAACCCTGCAACGTAAAACTTTATGGCTTGAAGAGAAGATCTCTGCCTCATGATAACATCCACAGTGGTATTGCTGCCTTCTCCCTAATCCTTGTGGCCACATCTGTGTTGACCTCTAGCACTGCGTTTTGGGAATGTGGGATCTCTAGTTCTGCCATCTGAAACATCTCTCCTTGCTTTTCACTTCCATCAGATAGTTATGTAAGCTCTTATAAAACCAGATGACTTTGACCTTTGAAGTGGGAAATCAATGGTTAGGCAAGGCTCAATTCACTGCAGAAATATTTACAGATACTTCAAGACCATTGTATTATTTTCTTTCATTCTGGCACTGAGCCAGCAGACATTATGTCTAATTCATACATTAAACCTTCATCATGATTCTCAGTTAACCTACCCTAATATTCAGCTGTGCCCTGCAGAACAGCCCGGCAGAAGTCAGAGAGGTTTTATGAGAGTGAGGTTTCTAAAACTGGAAAGGTAAGAGGCCGAAAACTCCTGCTAGAAATGTCTAGCAGCAGGGAGATCCCCATGGACAAGAAGAGCTGGATGCAGCTGTTTGTCTGCTGGAAGTCCAGGCACACAGGTTGGGTTCCTGAAGAAATAATCTGGTTACCAGGACGGGACCATCAGTGCAGCAACATCACCAATGAAGACACACCCCATGGACAAGAAGAGCTGGATGCAGGTGTTTTTCTGCTGGAAGTCCAGGCACACAGATTGGGTTCCTGAAGAAATAAGCTGGTTACCAGGACAGGACCATCACTGCAGCAACATCAATGAAGACGCTTGGATCAACACGTCCTGCTTGCCTTGTAGGAGAAGTTGAGCTGTAGACATGACAGGGATTGTATACAGGAATGCAATCAAAAAAGTCCTAGGACGTAATGAGCAACCCTTTCTTGATGAAAGAAGCTGGACCTCACAGTAGCACTCTCACAGCAAGTTAAGGGAGAGTGTTCCTGTTCCCTACAGGGGTGTGTGGGATTCTGGAGGATACATAACACTCAAAATATTTAGTCTATGCCTCCATCAAAGTGATTAATGTCCTAAGTAGAAGAGAAAACCTAGGCTTATAAGCACTTTTATCTATTTTGAGACAGATTCAGAGGCATTTTTTATTCCTAGTGTTTTGCACATGAGTTGGTAGAAGGGGAATATTTGAGTTTGTTTGTCCCAGTGAAGGGAGAAAGCTTTACACTAGTTTCCTCAGGTCTAGCTTCAAAAAAAAAAAAAGAGGAACAAAAAACTCACCACAGATTAAAATCACCCAATTACCATACTATAGCAAATAAAAACACTAGCCAGAGATGTAATCACATGTGCTATTAAAATACAGTAATAACACAAAACACCGTTCACAGATACCATCTCCAGATGAATGCCATACACAATAGCCCTTCTAAAAGCAATTACTTACATTGTTTAAGGAGCTATACACAATATTTGTTCTGACATTCCAGAATGGGTTGAGGTAGGTAAAGAGTCTGGGTGGTCATGAGAGTCACTGCCTTTCAGTTTCATGTGGCTACTTTGAATTTAGCCTATGCTCATTAATGAGCAGAAAAATTAGGTATAGTTGATGTGTACGAGGTAGCGTGTGTGATATGAATGGTGGATGTGCTGATAACTTCTCTTCAAACTCGTGGATAAGCTAAACACAGTTCACATTATAAAACAAAGCCTGGTGAGGTTGTGTGTCCTGACCTGTCCGAGGAGGAGGGACAAGCAACATGTGAGCCAAGTAGGCTGGATTCTGCCTAGGTTCTTCTGTTGTACCCATCAACCCATCATCTTGGTATCTTAATGCTTAATGCCCTTCTTGCTTCTAGATGCCTAGGTTCTTCTGTTGTACCCATCATCTTGGTATCTTAATGCCCTTCTTGCTTCTAGGCATGGTCGCCAGCTAGGCAAATTTGTTGATGGTAACTGGCAAAAACTTAAGTATCTCTGCATGTTCTGCAGATGTTTGTGGCCAGGACTCTCCAAGTGATCTCAAAGTGCCTTCCTCCTGCACTCTTATTGTTGGCAATCCTCTGGGCCACATGTATATGTAGGGTTAGTGCTAGGCCCTCAGCTCCATCTGCACAGGGCCACGCTCTTCTTACACACGTGTCAGCTCCAAGACTGGCTCTTCCCTCATCTCTGACTCTCACGTCAAAGGCCTGGGCTCTCCTGAGCTCAACAGAGAGACTGGAGGAAGCACCCAGGGTGCCTGGTGAGCACAAACCCTGGGTCTGTTCTACAAGAGGAAGGAGAGTGGGATTGAGGGTCTGAGTTCCTCTGCGCTTCCTTCTCTCACCACAGTCCTTGGATGTTCTGGTGCTGACACACAAACCAGTCCCTGGGCACACAGGCACCATCTGTCAGCAGCACACATGTGTATACCGGCTTTTAGATCATGGCAAAGGCCTAGCCTACGGTGGAAAAAAGATTAAATGAAGTCAAAATACCTCAAGATTGCCCCAGATGAAGAACACGCCTGTAGCATTACTGACCTACAGTAATGTATTGGACTAACTAGTCCTCCTCGGGCTCTTGAATGATCCCTCATAGCGCAGGGAGAACTCGATCTGACCAGCAGCCACACGAGCTATTTTGGATTTGATACGCAGCAGATTTGATAAGAAAGCTCTCAGGAAAAAACAAATTTCCTCTTGGACTTAGTAGTACTGGGCACATATTCCGGCACACTGAGTTCCCTTTCCTCATGAAGTAGCCTTCTAAAATTAGGAATGAGGTGAAACTCTGGCCCCATTGAAAACAGGGAGAACATTTCCATCATCCATAGAACCAGGATCACTGTAGACCAGCAGTAATGGTAGAGGGTTGAAAAGGGCAGAGTGCCCTTTATTTTGCTGTGTTCTCTGTGCTATTTCTCCAGTGTGACATATACTTATGTCTGCCTGTTTACATGTTTACAGCGGGGCAGTGCAAGTCCCATAAAATATGGCCCTTGCCTAATGATATTGAGCATTATCTGAGGATCTCAGACTTCTAAGGGTGAAGAAAGATGACTGTCATCTTCAGGTGGGGAAAATGAAGCACAATAAGGAAAGTAACTGGTTGCATGCCTTGCTGTCACCCTGCTGTTCTGCCCAGGTCTGACCATCCTCACCAGCATCCCATGGAAGCTGGGGCTTGCTTGGAGACTGCTTCTGCTGTGTGTTCCCTGGAAGGGACAAAAACATGCTGCAGTGCCCATTTTTGAAAACATGATGTTACAAGGAGCTAGGGTGGACAGCTTCAGGAGAGCCCTGGATTTACTGCATCACCTCTGAAGAGCTGGGAGTCTGCCCTGTCTGTCCTGTCCCAATCACAGCACTAAAGCATCACCCAAATCATTGCTCTGGTTCTGGAATGGACAGGAAATGTCCTGGATGGACTGGAAACAACAGGCACTTCAGTATGGCCACAGCTCCATGCATTTGCGTCAGAATCAAACCTGTCCATCACCCCACGAACATGCGTTTCAGCCTGGCTCTCAGAGCAGCCTCCTGTGAAATCGGAGCTGCATCTATGTAGCCTTATCTGCTCCTTGACCCCGGTGCCAGATGCACCTCACTGATGAATGCTCTGTAGGTTGTGAGTAACAACATGATGGTGCCTCGATGGTGGGATGCAGTTTGCATTCAAAAAACTGCCACTGTGCAGCAGGGCCTGGCTGCAGCCTCACACCATTCCACAAAAGGAGATGCCAGAGTGGACAAGAAACAACTGATGTGAGGACGGGCTCAGAGATTGCTGCTAGAGTTGGCTCAACAGGAAGGAGGTGCTGGGCTGTGTCTGCAGATGGTTAGTGTCAGCAGTTACTTGTGGTTATGAGCACGATGTAGAGTTCTGAAACAAGCAGTAACAAGCATGAAAAAAGACTTGATAACAATCTTTTATCTCTAACTATTATTTTGGCACTCTCTTCTTTTTCTCTTGTTCTTGCGTTTTGTGGTTTTATAATGTGTATTCACCATCAGCGTTGATTTACAGCCAAACAATGTGGTTTTTGGCCCAGGGACAATGCATCTCTGATGCTGTCCTAACTAGTGTCATGTTCCATAATAAGTATCTAAGTTTTCACTGGGGTCCTTGCTCATATTCACTCCTAGGTTCAGGCTAAAAAGGACACAGTAACTGCATCCCTAGTGCCTGTAATAGAGGTTAATAACCGCAATCTTGCACACTTATCAAATATGCTGAAAGATGCACAAAGCAGACCAAAGGATCCTGTGCACTCTGCTGCGAAACATATTTTCTCCACCCTCTTTCTTTTACAACTCACAGCATCCTCCCAAAGGACCCGCTTGTGTAAATTACTGTCCTCAGTTGGCTGGTCCAGTCTACTTCCAAGGATGTAATATGGAAACTGCCTCTTTTTACCTCCAGCAAGCTAGTAATCTTCCTGTCAGCTAGGGCAACGAGGTGCATGTGTTTTTACCTGCAGCCTAGATGGCTGGACCTCACTCTGATGTTGGGTATGGAAATAGTGTCCAGTAGGAAATAGGAATAACTGTCCATGACCTCCACATTTAGACTATGCTCAAATTCTTCCAGTAGTTCTTAGCTAGCTGTGACCATCATTGCTTTTGCTTTGTGTTCTACCTGCTGTAAATTACTGGTAACATCAAAGATCAAGCAGATCTCAGGAGACTTGTGTTGTGATGGTGCTGTGCAGACCACAAAGTGCAGAGTGAAGTGTGTAAAGAGGTGGCCACAGACCATCCATGATCAGAAGATCGGAAAATTCATCCAGAAGAAATCAAGAGAGGCACTGTAGAAGCTTTTCACCAACAGCAACACTGGGTGTATGAAGATCCCTCTTAACTGAAATCCTTTTTAAAGTCACTTTTCCTGAGCATCACCCCGGAGTCCTCTGTTCCTGCTGGTAGCTTCACATGGAGGCCACTGGCCTGGCATGGAGGGTGATAGCCCCACACTTCACAAAAGGCAGGCTGAGTTCCCTGTGCACCTGCAGCAAGGAATGAGGGCAAGCAGTGGGAATACCTTTCCATCCCAACTCTTTCCTGGTTCAAACACAAAGTCTGCTCAAATGATTCTCACCAGCGCCAAACCCTGTCTATGCAATTGTGATGCGAGACCTGAGGTTGCTTAGCAGAGATAAGCAAACAACCACTTCTCTCTGTTGTTTGAACCCTAATTTCTAATTACACTGTTGTTCCCTGCAAACATAAATCTGAGACTAGCCAGGAGCTGTGAGTAGTAGGTGGCTCCCCCTCATAGTTTAAAGCACAAGAGAGGAAAAATAACAAAGGGCCACAAGGCCACACTGTTTTGTAACCACAGCAAACCTGCTCTCTGACTCCTGCCAAGCTGTTTTGTTTGAAGTGAGAAGAACTGAAAGGCAGCAGCCCGGAGGTGGTGGTGGGAAGGAAGAGGTGGCCCACACAGAGCTTCCCCGACCTTCTTTCCACTGTGGAGATGGCCACCACCAGCAGCCCCATCATGGGCATCTCTGTGGAGACACACAGAGCTCCATGCACCACCGGCAGAGCGGGTGTTCACAGCTGAAGCAAGGCACACTCAACTGAAAACAGTCAAAACCCAGGACAAGCAGGATGAGGGCCCTCAGAGCAGGCACTACCGAAGGGTCTAAACTCTGCTCTTTGATGGGCCAGGAGCTTGCCAAGCTGGTCATTTACCGAGAAGCCTGGTATTAATCAGCAACCACAGGAGGAGGAATGCTCTGATGTTATTTGCATACTGCTTTTGCTGCATTACAGTCCTGCTACAGTGACACACTGTACAAACAGTATTATCAGTTATTTGCAAGAAGAGAATTTTGGAAATTCCTCTCTAGACAAACACTTCCACTTCCGAGCCCTTGAATCTGGCCAGCTGCTTAGGATCAGGCTGCCTCCTGCCTTCCAGATTGCAATAAGTATCTGGGGAAGCAGGGTAGGGGCCAGTGCCCCAGTCCTAAAGAAGGTCTTGTGTGCCCAAAAGATCAGTTGCTTTTTCCAGTTATGTCAGTTGGGCTAATAAAAGTGATTGCCTCTTCCTATCAACCCTGCCTTTCTCATTGATCCCACAGGCCCTTCTTCAAATGTCACCCAGCAAGGAGGGAGCACACATCCAATTATGAAAAGAGAAAAGATTAGTGTGATGACAAAGCAGCAGGGTCAGTGGCAGGGATGTGCTGCATGAAACAAATGAGACATGTCTCGCCTAGACGCCTCCAAGCCAGAGGAGACCAGAAGGAGGCATTTTGGAGGGAGCAGAGTCCCAGTCCTGACAACCAATAGAGGAAATGCAAACGTAACGCTTTTCCTAACCTCTTTTGGAATTTTGGTATTACGTTTGTTTAAATAAGAAGCCTCAAACATCCTTGAAAGCGGATAACCACTCCAAGCACAGTTGTGGTCATGAAAACCTCAAAAGCAGCACAGTCAAGTTTGGTGTAATTAAATTTATTTTTCTGTGGGGCCAAATCTTGCCTTTTTGAACTTGTGTTGACTAGTCCCATTTGCTGTGGACCATGGCTACATTGCTGAGGGCAGAAGTCATCACGTGGTGCCACTGGCCCACCCTGACACACTTTATGCAAGTGAGCAAGGATCGTTGCAGCAAGTAAAGAGCTGCAGAACCTAGGAGGAAATACCAGCCTTTTTGTGTTTCCTCCACCACATCCTTGACCGCTTCAGAAGCCCAGGACTCTGAATATAACACAAGAAAGACAAAATATATAGATATAAGCTGGGTTTGATGATTTCTGCACCCTGAGCCACAGAGATGTCTAGAGTTTGGAAGCAGGTTCTGGAGAGCTGCATAGGACGGGTTACCAGAGAGCCCGTGTTTCTCCATGTGCAAGGTGACCTTGATGACCCACGTGTACTGAAGCAGAGAGACCAGCTGTGACTATCCCAGAGTTGGTGTTTTCTGCTAAATCCCTAAATCTGTTTCTCCTCCTTTCAAAACAGCACTTCTTGCAAGGATTAATATTTTGCATGTTAGAAGCCAAATCTTTTTAAAACTGGTTGTTTGAATGTTCCTAAGTGTTAGCATAAGCTACAGAAAACAGCACACTCAACAGGTTATTAAGAGCAACTTATCTTGATCGCCTTCTGGAGTTTCCTGATCAGCTCTTAAAAAAGATGGCAGAAAGTTTTATCACAACTGCTTTTTCTTTCTCATTCTGCTCTGCATTCCCAATATTCCCACTTTTCCAGCAGTTTCTTGCCATAGTTCCACTGCAAAGTGAATGCTGGACAGGAGCCAGGGAACAGGTACTGCACTGAGCCAGTGCTAAGTGAGCTTGCCTTATGTTGGGATCAGATCCCTAGGCATAAAGTTGGTGAAGACCCATGGAGAACAACTGACCTTTGTCAGCTGGTTGCAGTTGTACTGATTGATTCAGGTGTATATAAAGCACAGCCCTGTTTATCTCAACAGTGATCAGTGGAAGCTCCTTCTGCAGCTAAGGGTCTTGTTGCTTCTTAAGGTCAGTAATATTTTCTGGTCTTCCACTCACTTGTATGTCCCTGGCATGTCTGCAGTAGAAAGAGGTGTCCTGCAGGTCTCCTTTTCATGTGGCTTTATGTTAAAACCCCCAAAGTTTGCAGAGGAATACGGAAACAATACCAGACACTCGTATCTCTAGATCCTTACCTAGAGAGAGATCTCACACAGCTGAACCTGCCTGCATTTCCTGATGTTGACACCTCATTTGCCCCTCTGTTTTAAACCACAAAACTTCCTCTGTGTACAGCCTGTTCCTCTATAAATAGCCCTGGGCTCAGCTCGTGCGGTTCGTGCACAACATGGGACACCTAGTGGCTTGCAGGGCTGGACCAGACAAGGTGTCTGGCTCTTCTGCCGGGCGCTGGCACAAACCGGAGGAGCCGCAACTGCAGGCAGCTCTGCAAGCTGAGCGCGTCCGCATCCCCTTGGAGCCCGAAAGGAAAGCGAGGCAGAAACCTGAAGCGCTGTCAAATGCCAAAGGCTGATGTTTTTCAGATGAGATCCCAAATTAGTAACCCTTTCATAGCTGCGGAAGGTTAGGGAAGAGTCTGTGGCCATCGAGGCTGTTATTAATAAGGGCAATGTTTGCATTTCTGGATCCTGAAGTGGCAGTGAGAGAGCTGCGTGTGCTTGGGGCTGGGGTGGCTTGTGACCATCTGCCTCTGGAACGCAGGTGCCTAAGGGGGCAGTGACACGCAGCTGCTTCTGCAGCTGATGGCCAAGAGGCATGGGGGTAAATATGGGCAAAAGCAACTCTTTGTATTCTCCCTTTCTCAGACCAGGAATAATTTTAATCACTGGGTAAATCGTGTTCTTAAGTCTCCGCTCTCCTCTGCAGCAGCCTCTTGCACTGCAGGAAGCGGGTGCATCTCTGCAAGGGGGCAGGACGAGGTCGGGCAGTTTCGGGACAGGCAGAAATGAAACTAAGGAGCTGGAGTGACCTCCCTTTCAGTTAAAAGGGGGTTTGCAGGGTTTGTTAGTGTTTATTTAGCAAATGCGTTTGCTTTGGGGGGAAATACTTGTAATAGTCGCTGTCTGGCTGTAGTGTGGCAGGCTCCAGTGCCCAGCAGTCCCCAACCAGGAACGCTGTTAGCAAGAGGGAGGGCACAGGGTCTCCCTGGGGTCATGCGGCTCTCAAGAAAGCCCAAATTCCAGCAAAATCCCAGCACTCGGCCAGAGAGAGGGGCTGGCTGAGTGCAGCAGGGAACATACCCTAGTGTGGGGACTGGGTAGGAATCGGGGGCATGTGGGGACACTGCAAGTTGGGGTGTGAGTTCAGGGATGCTGTGGGGCATGTGTGGGGCTCAAGGACACTGCAGAGCAGTGCCTGGAGCGCAGGGAACAGAACAGGGGGCAGAGATGTGGGGCATGTGTGTGGTGAGGGGGTTGGGGACGCAGGTCAGAGCACACGGGGGACATGAGAACAGCACAGGGCAGGGAGTATGTGCAGGGTGGCACACGCATGAGGCAGGGACCCTCTGGAGACAGGGTGACACGTGGGGCAGAGCGGCATGCATCAGGTGGTGGCACATGCGGGGGGGACATGCAGAGTGCAATGAGAGTGCACGAGGTGTGTGTGCACCGTGGCTGCATGTGCCAGGTTGGGGGGACACACCAAGCACGGGAGGCGCTTGCTCAGGGGACACCGTGGGGCAGGGACACACAACGGGGTGAATGGGCTGCTCGGGGCAGGCAGCGCTGGGGACACCGTGCGGCGGCTGTCCCCGTGGGGTCCCGTCGGGGCAGGCAGCGCTGGGGACACCGCGTGGGGGCTGCC